GTTCGCAGCCCGCGCTCAATCCACTGAGTACGCCAGCCAGGGAGATAAGCTCATTTTTATCTCTTACAGAATTTGTCAGCAAAAGAGATAACTTAAGATGACGGTTGGCTGTTGAATGTGCACAGCCAGCAGCCAGCAGTACATCAGACGATCCTGGCGAGCGTGGAGAAACAGAACCAAACTGAATAATGACACGAAAAGCAACAACAATTCTTCCACGGATCTGACATCATAACCTATGAGTTTCACAATGAGACAAGAGCAACCTAACTCGGATGGCAACTGAGAGCAGCACAAATACCAATTTTTTAGTCAATCAGTCATGTATGAGAGGGTGACCAAGGGGAGGGGAATTATTAAATTAATTAAAAGAAGCCATTAGCCCTGGCTGGCATAGCTCAGTGGATTGAGGTCGGGCTGCGAACCAAAGCATTGCAGGTTCGATTCCCAGCCAGGGCACATGCCTGGGTTGCAGGCCATGACCCCCAGCAACCGCCATTGATGTTTCTCTCTCTTTCTCCCTCCCTTCCCTCTCTAAAAATAAATAAATAAAATCTTTTAAAAATTTTTTAAAAAAAGAAGCCATTAGACTGAGGCGGCTCTAATGCCGTGGAAGTCGACACAAGCAAACCCACATCTAAGCCTGGAAGGGCCTGAACGTTAGGAAATTGAAATGCTAAGGACGACCAATCACAAACAGCCAGCTAGTCTTTCTCCTACACTCAGTCAATTTCCTGGTTTCTGCCTTTTGTTTATAGAAGTCTTCTTCTGAGCTTCTGACAGTGAAGCACTCCTAACCACCTCGGGTTTGGTGCTACCCGATTCCAGTGGATTTTTGCTCAAATGAATTCTTAAAAGGCTTAATATGCTTCAGGTTTTCGTTGAAAAAGAGCAACTTCCTCTTTGGAACTTTTGCAACACTGCCCCTCCTCCCAGAGAGACGTGAGCACTTGCGCCTGCTCTCTTCCGTCCCGGCTTTATCAGAGCTGCAGCGGGCTCGCACCGGCACACAGGCTGCTTTAAATGTGCCCTCTCTGAGGCCAGGGGTAATATTTGTATTCTACTGGGTGTGTGGAGCATCTGGCAGACGGAGGCTCAATAAATACTTGTTGAATGAATGAATGAGTGAGTGGTGGACAAGGAGAAATAGTTGAGGAATATTAATAGCAGGCATTCACCTAGCACGTTGTTTTATGCCAGGCACTCTGCAAGAGCGTGTACACTTGAACAGAGTGATTTATTCCTAACACAACCCTATGAGGGAGGACCCACTATTCATCTTCAATTTCAGTGTAAGAAAACTGCCTCATGGAGAGACTAATCGTCTGTAAAAGGTCACAAACTGTTACACGGGACAGGGTCTCAAGGTCTGGGCAGTTCTAAATGTTACTACTGGAACTGAGCAAACTGGGGCCCGGCCACATGGTACCATGACCCATGACCCAGCGATTAGTGTTGAAGGAAACAGGTTCTCATTAACAGGGTTCCAACCTCAGTGGGACTGGGAGCACCCCCGCTCAGAGCCCCTCTCCCCCACAAGACGCGGAGCCTCTTTTGCTCCCCAAAAGGCCATGAGCCAGAACCATGCCCAGAAGTCCCCCATATCCTCATTGGTTCTTACGCGGGCTGTGCAAACAGATCCTCCATGCCCTCTGGAAGGGGCACTTGTGGGTCTCCGAGTCCCCATCCTCTCCCAGCAGCTGTCTCCTTCAGGGATCTGGGGTGCGCTGTTCTCAGCCTCCACGCAGTGGTTCAGGGAAACAGGTGCCATGCTGCACTGGGTCGTGGTGGGGTCCAGGCAGGTACAGTCCCAAGACAGTGGTTTCTCTGCATGTCCTTTGGAGAAGCAGAAGCCTGCAACCCAGCATTCCCGGTCACAGGTCGGCTCCAAGCTTCTCCCATGATTCTGTGCTCGGTTAGGCAGGTCCCTGCAGCTCCGTCCGCTCTGCCGCCGCCTTCTCTAGTCCGACCTTCTCCCTTGCCCGCCTCCGGACCTCGTGCGTGGTGTGTTCCCGGGTCTCTCTCACTCACTGCAACCTCTTCTGTTCGTGGGGGACTCTCTCTTTCACCCCTGACCTCTTCTGTTCCTGAGGGACTCTCTCCTGCACCCTTTCGGCCTGCCCTCACTGAAATGCTGGGCCAGGAACTTCCCGCATGACCTCATACCCAGCCCCGCCTAGGATGAGTTGGCGTCCGCCGTGTTGGCCAGGTCCCGCGCGTCTTGTAGCTTCTTTCTGCTGCCATCTTTCGTCAAGGCAAGAGTTCCCTGTGGCACTGGGGCACCTGCCTCTCCAGCCACCTCACGAGTCACTATACACCCTTAAAGTCACTACACCTTTCCCCTGGACCCCACTCCTCTTCCCTTCATGGAAGGGATGGCTATTAGCTTGCAATTGTTATACAAAATATCTTAAACATTGTATCACCCATTTCCCCTTTCCCCAGTCAAGGGCTGTACACTGTTATTTTCAGGGGACCGCCACTCTGCACCCCATTACATTACTATGTTATTCTTCCTAAATGTTAAAATGTAGCACAGTATTTTGTAAACAGGATGAGCTTGACAGGAACTCTACTGGATAAATGTAGCCAACTGAAAAGAAGAAATCAAAATACAATTGACCAAGTAGTGTTCCAGTATATAAGCAATGGCTGAGCCTCCCTTTTCGGAAACAGAACTTTGGATATGAATCCCCTATCTCCTTTACTTGTTGCAAATAAATAAAACTACTTTGTGACGACCACATCTTGTTCTTGAACAGAACACCCCAAGCAGTGAACCCCTTGAGTTTGGTGACAACGCTAGGAAGTGGCAAGTGTGGGACTCAACACCAGAGCTCACCGTGTGTTTTCACCTTTATACCCCAGGAATAAAGGATCCACCCACATTAGAAATGGAGACCTCTCGAGTGGCTCCTAATCTGGAGGACTACAAGATGCTGCCATTGGTGGGATTTGTAGCTTTCAGAAGTCTGAAGGCTTTTTGCATTCTTGGACTTCTCAAGGGGACAGGGGAAAAGGCTTTGCTCAAGGACATACGAAGGAGTGGAAATGGAGATTTAAAAAAACACATCTAAAGTGTTAAAGGAGGAAATCTGCACTCACCAGTCAGAAAAATAAAAAGGCTAACATGTCCGTTATGCTTTGGCTATGACGTGCAATTCCTTGTGCCCCAGAACTCCGTCTGCTATGCTTAGGGAACACCACCATGATGTCCACCCTGATGAACCACAAGCTTGAGAGGAATCACGGCCCCAGTTCTGGCTTCTCTGTTATCTGGCCATCTTCCCCCAACCCGTCCCTCCTCAGGTGGCCCTTATGCTGGCCAATGAACCTCTCACTCACCCAGCTCATTATGTCAAAATAATCTGTAAGTCTCTCAAGATTCCACCTTCCCTCTCCCCCTTCACATCCATTTGGTGACTGAGTCTATTTTTTTTTCAAAAGATTTTATTTACTTATTTTTAGAGAGAGAAGGGAGGGGGGAGAGAGAGAGAGAGACATCCATGTGTGGTTGCTGGGGGCGGAGGCCTGCAACCCAGGCATGTGCCCTGACTGGGAATCGAACCTGCGATGCTTTGATTCACAGCCCGCGCTTAATCCACTGAGCTACGCCAGCCAGGGCTCTGGTGGCTGAGTCTATTTAATATTCATTAAATATTTGTTGTATGCCATGAGTATGCAAGGATGAACTGAAGATCTCCCATCAGCTCCACCCTTCCCGCTTTAAGGACCTGGGCATCTGAAAGGGGGTGTTTTGCAAAGGAACAGTCCTTTCTAACTGCTAAGCAGTAAATGCAAGAAACAGGTTAAGTAGAGGGCTGGGAGGGAACACTAGAGTGTATATGATTCGACTAGGGAATCTTAAGGCTTTTTCCCTTGGCCATGTTCAGCCTGAAAGGTGAAGGAAGTGTACCAGAACCCCAGTGATAAGGGAGGCAAGAGCAAATTTCTGGAGGCAAAAACAGAGCGCGGAGTGTGGAGAACTCGCAGTTCGCTACGACCTCAGAGCCTCCAAGTTAGAACCAGCTGGGTCTTAATCCAGTAACCGCGGCAATGCCCCAAAACTTTCCACTCCTGGAAAGAAGGGCGGGGGGGGGGAAACAGCACCCGGTCTTCGGTCTTTTCCGTCTCTGGAAGTCTGCCCTTCAAGAAGTCTCCCAGCACTTATCTTTCGTTCATCAAACATCTTCTGCGCACCCTCTCTGGGTAGGTGCTTTCTAGTACTAGCCTAGCAGTACTTCCCACCTTTAGAGAGTTTGTAATGAATGTATCGGAGAGGGCAGACCTTGAGGAAGCAACTCTGAGAACTGGGGGCTGGGAAAGGAGACTTAAGATGTTAACGACCTGCCTAAGGACTCACCGCCCACTGTTCACCAGCTGTCACTGGGGTACTCCAGGCCTGTCACCTGCTTGTCCTCGCCCAGGTTTGCCTTAGTGCTTTATTCGCTCCCTCACCCCCCTTCGCCCCTGATCCAAGCCCACTGCCTGTCTAGACCTGACTCCAGACCGAGATCTTCTTTTGAGTATGCACGAGAGGCGACCTGCAGCTCTGCATGGCGCGGCTAGGGAGCTCCTGCAGAGGCAGCCGCTGGAGGGCAGCCGCCGGCCAGCCTCAACACCGCCAGTTGCACCCCTGGCGGCCTCTCTCCCAAGAACTACCCACACGCAGGCTGGAGAGCGCACGCCCGGCGTGATGACACCGTGGGAGCAGCTCGCGTCAGCCGCCTTTCCCACGAGGGCGGGAGAGGCCACTCTGCGGGAAGACCTTGGCCACAGCTGGAGCTCTCCGATCGCAGCTTTCCGAGCCCGGGGGGGACTCGCAGGGGAACGCTCGGGTGGTGGGGGGGGGCGGGGCGAGCCCCCGGCGGCTCTGAGGTCCAGCAGAGGCTTAGGGCGGGCAGAGGCGGGACCGAGGGCGGGGCGGCCGCAGCCTCCGCCATTCCCCGTTTCCTCCCTCCCACCCCCGCCGCAGCGCACCACCTCCCCGCCCCCACCCCTGTCCCCCACCGCGCGCGCTCCGCCCGCCCCGGAGCCTCGCCCTCCGCCACGATGAGCAAATGAGCGCGAGCGAGGGCATGAAATTTAAATTCCACTCAGGGGAGAAAGTGCTGTGCTTCGAGCCTGACCCCACCAAGGCGCGAGTGCTGTACGATGCCAAGGTGCCGCCGCGGAGGGACAGGGAGGAGGAGCGGGTCGGGGGGCCCCGGCTCGGGGTGCGGGCGCGGGCGCGGATGGTGGCGCGGAGCGGGGGAAGCGGCGGGCCCAAGCGCTCCCTGCCCGTGACAGCTGGGCCTGCGCGGCGCCGCGCGGACAGCAGGGGGCGCTCGCGAGCGCCGCGCTGGGGAGTGGGGCCCACGCGCTTCCGCTTCCGGCCGGCGCACGGGGCTGCGCATGCGCCATCAGAAACGTCGCGGCTGCGCTGTCGCGAGCTTGTCGCCGCGCGTCGGTGGCGCACGTGACGTCATCAAGGTCCGCGCGTCCAGGAGGCCGCTCACGGATGGCGCGTTAACTCTCATTCTACGCGGAGCGCCGCGTGGGCTCCCGTGCGACACCCTGACCAACCGACCCAGGTCCTAAATCATAGCGCCGTAGCGCTAACTGTCGAATCGCGACGTCGTTGTTTTGGGGCCCCAGTTGTGTTTGGGCCCCTCCCGTTAGGCCCCGAGGGCTAGGTTGACCCGGCGTTTTCTTCCCTTAGGGCCTTGCGGCATTTACGTTTTCAGTCTCCCAGTTGGGCTCCGAGCCCGTTACTTTCGTCTCGGGGGCTCGCGGGGACTGAGCCACTTGCACAACTCAGGTCTGGGTGGCGAGAGGGAGTGGGCATCGCAGTACGGGGGGTAGGGGCTAGCCCGGGGCCCCAGCTGCGTCTGAGTAGCGCTGCCCGTTGGGGGACTTCTCAAGGCCCCCCGAGCTCAGACAGTTCTATTGCAGGGCTCCGCCCTCGCAACCCTGTCTCTGTTTTCTGTTTGCTTTCCCTCCTCCTTCCCCGCCTGGAGTGTGCCCCGGGTGTGACACGCCCCATCATTTGCCCCAGATGTCCCCTCTGGGGACATCGCTGGAAGGGATGGCAAAATCTGCTAACCATCCTAGCCCTGGGTGCTGTGACGCTGGGGAGACTACAACTCCCAGAGGTCTCAGGGCTGCAACTCTCCTGTCTGGCCGGGACTCTTCTTTAGTGACAAATTGGCTGGCCAATGGCTTCAGGAAGCTGCACGCAGTCCCACACTCAGAGACCAATCACGGGGAGATTGGAGGGATGTTTCCTATTTTGAGGCATCCACTCAGGAAAAAAATGGAATTGAAAGGAAAAATGTTTCAGTCTAGTTCTCTATGTGAAACAGGAGCGAATGCTTTCATTTGTTTAAAAAAAAGGTCTATGATCTAGCTCTCCTGAACTAGCTTTCAGTGTTCTGTATGTTCAATCATTTGTGGACAATATTTTTTGGTTTCAGATTGTGGATGTTGTTGTTGGGAAAGACGAAAAAGGCAGAAAGATCCCAGAATATCTGATCCATTTTAATGGTTGGAACAGAAGGTGAGTGTACTTGTTGAACGGGACTGAAAATTGATCACTTCTGCAGAACATAGCAAAGTTCCTTGTTAGGTTTTAGAAACACTTGTAGAAAAGTTTCATGTCCTGTTTTTGCTTTTTTTTTTTTTTCACTCTTTTTAAAAAAGATTTTATTTACTTATTTTTAGAGAGGGAAGGGAGGGAGAAAGAGAGAGAGAGAGAGAGAGAGGGAGAGAGACATCAATGTGCGGTTGCTGGGGGCCGTGGCTTGCAACCCAAGCATGTGCCCTGACTGGGAATCGAACCTGCAACACTTTGGTTCGCAGCCCGCGCTCAATCCATTGAGCTACGCCAGCTAGGGTTGCTTTTTTTCACTCTTAATCAAACCTTATCTTTTCAGAGGAATGAGTACTTTTTAAGTTGATTATATTTGGGTTCTCTATGGGTAATTCTGGAAACCCCAGTTGCTTCTGTGTTTAAATCAGTCTCTTCAGTTTATTTGCATTTTTTGTGATTATAAACTATTTAAATAGTTTTCTAAAATGTAAGTAATTCTGGGACACTTCAGTGGCTGTGAGGTGCTTTTTGCGTTTGTTTCATAGCAAAGTAAGATACTGAATTTTACATCCTTTTTTGTTTGTTTTTGTAGCTGGGATAGGTGGGCAGCTGAAGATCATGTCCTCCGTGACACCGATGAAAATCGGAGATTACAGCGTAAATTGGCAAGAAAAGCTGTAGCTCGCCTGTGAGAATACAAAACTCATCACAATGTGTTTTCTCTTAGTGTGTAGAATTTGTATGATACAAAAGTAAAAGTATGACAAGCATGGTTTATTATGCACTTTGACATATTGAAAATGTGGTAGCGAAGAGTGTGCCTGTTGTGTTGTAAGTAACTGCTGTGTTTTCTGCAAAGATATTGTATAATATTCTGAAATGGAGATGGCCATTTATGTTCTGAAGTTTAGTCACTTGTTAAAGGCTTAAGAACCTTTGTTATTGTATCTTGTTTTTATCTCAAGGCTCATATTAGTCAACGTTAAAATTTACTTCATTCATTTTTTTCCCAGAAGCACAGGAAGAAAGAAGAAGCGCTGCCGCTTGCCTGGTGTCGATTCTGTCTTAAAAAGCGTCCCCGGTGAAGGAAAAGATAAAAATGATGAGAACTGTGAGTGGCTTGACTTACTTTGTCGGGTTAAAAGAACTTTTACCTAGTTCTTTCATACTGCAGGATTGAGGGGGAGGAATCCTTGGAATTACAGGCAACGAAATGTTTTAAGCTCATGATACATAATATTTGCCTCTTTCCCCACAACTAAGGTAGCCGTCAAAAAGTCTGTAATTAGTCCTCACCAGTCATGCTCCTCATCACTGCCGTCTTGGCCAGTGTCTTTATACTCATTCCTTAGGGGGTCCCTTGTTGCGTTTTCTCCATTCTCGGTACCTCCTGGGCCTTGGCCTCGCTTTCCAATGCAGCGGGTAACTACGGGGTTCTAGGTAACTGAACACTTTCAGACCATTTTCTTGTGTGGTTTTGCATTCATTGATATTGACATTCTATTTTTCAAAATAAAAATTCTATTCTGAAAGGTACAGTATTTCTGTCCAGCATTTAAAATGTATGTGGGGCTGCAGTTTATTATTTTCAGCATTCGGACACACATTTCTCCTTGAAGAATTGTAAGTCAGGGAAGTATGTAATGCAGGATTGCTTCCTATTTTCTGTCTTGCCCAGCAATAAGCACTTCCTCTGATGACAGCAGTGAAGAAAAGGATGAGGCAATAAGCGAACAAAGCGATACTGAAGAAAAGACTGAAGTGGTAAAAACTTTTTGTTGTGAAAACTCTTTGTCTTTGGTATATATTTTAGTGGTAAAATTCTTTAGTCGGGAAGCATTTTGTAAAAATACATTTAAAACATTTTTTTTCCTTTTTTTAAGATTTGTATTTATTTATTTTTAGACAGAGGGGAAGGGAAGGAGAAAGAGAAGGAGAGAAACATCAATGTGTGGTTGCCTCTCACATGCTCCCTACTGGGGACTTGGCCCGCAACCCAGGCATGTGCCCTGACTGGGAATCGAACTGGTGACTCTTTGGTTCACAGGCTGGCACTCAATCCACTGAGCCACACCAGCCTGGGGTGGAAAACATATTTTTTAACAGAATACTATAAAGTTGTATTTCATATTTAAGGGAAAATAACCCTTAATTATTGTCACTGTATGAACCTCTCAGTGCCTCTTTATAGCCATAAAGTATTTCCACAAATTATAGTTACCTTTTTCTTTTCAATAAAATTGTGAACTTTACTTTTATAATGATGACTATTCTTTGAAATACTTTATTTATTTATAGAGATAGGGGAAGGGAGAGAGAAGGAGAGGGAGAGAAATATTGATGTGTGAGAGAAACATTAATCAGTTGCTTCTCACATTCCCCAACTGGGGACTTGGCCCACACCCCAGGCATGGGCCCTGATTGGGAATGGAACCAGTGACCTTTTGGTCCGCAGGCCAGTGCTCTGTCCACTGAGCCACACCAGCTGGGGCCATGGTGACTCTTGAGATGTTGGGTACGAGAGTCTGGCATATTCAGCCTGCCTTCACAGTTAATGTAAATTCTGCTGGTAAAATTAAATGGGGAAGAAAGAAAGTGAGCATTTGCAATGTGGGTAGTGTCCTAAAACAAGTTAACTTTTGGCCTTTAATGTACTTTTCCTTAGAACACGTGCCCTTCCTTACTGGTGTAAATGTCGCGGGTTACCTGGGTTTGCATAATGGTAGGCTCTCACGTGCTAGTCCTTTGGATATACACTCCTGCCGTTTTCCGAAGTGTAAAAGTCTGGAATTGTTACATTGCAGAAGGAAGAAGTGGAGCCGCACAGAAAAAAGGAGATGGAAGAAAGAGCAATAACTATAGACATCCCTGAAGTTTTAAAGAAGAAGCTGGAGGACGATTGTTACTATATCAACAGGAGGAAACGGGTATACGGGGGAGCACATCAAACACGGATTTGTGAGAGAACGTCCATTTAGCAGTATTTTGTAATCATAGACCCAAACAATTGAGCACCTTAGGGGAAATGAAGTTTCTGCTTTAAGTTTGGTACTGAGTCAGGATTTAAAATCATCTGACAGCAGTGCTCTGCCGCTGGTTAAATTAAAGTGCGCACAGTCTTTCCAAGCCCTGGGTACCCATTAGAATCACCGAGGGAGCTTTGCAGAAACCTGAAGCGTGGGCTTCCACCGCGGGGGGCGGGGGGGGGGGTGGTGTGTAAGATGAAATTGATCTGTGGTGGGGGGTGGCTGCGGGCGTATTCTTAGAGGCTCCCCAGGTGGTCCTAATAGATCCCTCACATGAGAATCATTGCTTGTGTCTATTTCAAAAATTAATACTGCGATCTACTTGGCGATGCGTAGACGAAAAACACCAAAGAGCTTCAAAGCGTAGTTTTTAACAAAATTCTCCTTGAACCCAGCGGGCTTTATTTTTGTGTTTAAAAAGTGGCATGGGCAAGACCACTGTTTGTCGCAGCGTATGGTGTATACTGTGCAGCGAGTGCGTCAGATGTGTCCATTTGCCTTGACAGTTAGTGAAGCTTCCGTGCCAGACCAACATCATCACCATTTTGGAATCGTACGTGAAGCATTTTGCCATCAATGCAGCCTTTTCAGCCAACGAGAGGCCCCGTCATCATCACGCCATGGCACACACCACCATGAATGTGCATTACATCCCAGCGGAAAAGAAGTGAGTGGCGGTGGGCGGGGGGGCAGGTTGGCATCTCGTGGTTCTCTTTGTGTATTAGGGATTGACTTTGCTTTAGAAGAGGCTACCCTGTGTTCATTTCAGTTGTTATGATTGCATTTGATACATCCCTTAACATACAGCTTAGCATTAAAATATCATCCCCTTTTTTGAAATGTTCAATACGTGTGTCTGGTCTGGATGCGAGACCAAGAGCGTTTTGTTCAGCGATGTAATTTAGGGGCATGACTCTGGTCCTTGAGAAGCACCGGCATGGGCAATGAGAGTTTTACCGGAGCTTGTTTACAAACGCGTCTTTATTGCAGTCTGAGCAATGGCCCTCGTGGTCTTGCCTTGGCCTGCGCGGCTCAGCTGGGGTAGAATCGGACAGGTGGCTTGTTCAAGTCTGAGTAGGTGTTGGGCGTTCACCGGTCTGCCCCCGCCAGCCCCCAGCCCCCAGCGATTGCAGCCTGTCCGCCCTCTGCGGCACCAGCTGCTTGTGCGGCACGTGCGGCGCCGAACCTAATCCTCCGTGATCCGTGCTGGCAGTTAACATTGCCAGCGTACCGACTGCTTTATCTCGTAAACCAGGGTTGCCATTTAGTTCTTTATCACAGGCATCGACAAATTCACTTCGTTCTTTGTGTGCCAGTCTGATATGTAGTGTTACAAATTCTGTGTTATTAAAAATTTACGACCTTATTGTGACATTTTGGAAAGTTCTTACATCTCTAGTCTCTTCTTTTTAATCCTCCTAGTGTTGACCTTTGTAAGGAGATGGTGGATGGCTTAAGAATAACCTTTGATTACACTCTCCCGTTGGTTTTGCTGTATCCATACGAACAAGTTCAGTATAAAAAGGTGACTTCGTCCAAATTTTTTCTTCCGATTAAGGAAAGTGCCACGAACACTAGTAGGTAAGTTCCAGGGTAGAGAACTCGGCTGGATTTTGAACGGCTCTCTCCCCCTTTCTAAAGACAGTGGAGAGAAGAGAACACGGCCTGAGAAGGGTAGGAGAGACAGGGCGGGGGGGTTTGAATTTAGGTCCCTCACTTACTGGTTGTGGGACTTGGGGGGGTGACTTTTGCGCCTCTTTCTCTGGCCTCTGCTGTGGAAAGAATGCGTGCCTCCTTGGGTGGTGGTCGTTAAGTGAGGGAGTTGATGCAGGCCGGCCCCTGGGGCCTGCGGGTAAAGGTTCGTTTTGTTCTTGCTGCGCTGCGTCGTCACTTCCGTCGGTGACCACGCCCGACCAGATCTCTCTTCTGTGAGGGCAGCAGAAGCCCCCCAGACTAAAGTCTCTGCGCCCGTGGGTTTAAGCTGCAGTACTCCCTCGCGCCCCTTCCCGAGAGTGGAATGTTCTCAGGACTCCCGCTCATCTAGCTCTTGCCGCCACGCCCTCTGCCTTGGTCTGCCACGACCCCTTCTGACTCTGCTCCCCGAGGGAGGCCACTAGCCACTTGCCGTGCGCCACGCTGTGCTCTGCATAAGCCACCGTTCCCTGCCGTCCCCTCCTCCCTTCGTGGCTCCTGTCTCCTGGTTCTCTGCCTGCCTCGTGATTTCTTCTCAGCCTGTCGCCCTTCCTTGTCGGTGTCACCGCAGGCCAGAGGCCTGTACAACTCACTGGGGACCTGCGTCGATGTCCCCACGCTGTTTTCCAAACCTCTAGGTTCCCGGTGTCCCTGCTGAACTGTGTGTGTGCTCCCAGTTGAGGCTTTCGGTAGTTACTGTAATGCGGTAGCCTCATCCCTGCGCGCGGGGTTTCTCAGCTTTGGCCCTGTTGCCATCTCCAGCCTTGTCGTTCTTCGCTGTGGTCCGTCCTCTGCATTGTGGGGTGTTCCCTGGCCTCCTCCCACTGGATGCCAGCAGCACCTCCCAGTTGTGACAGCCGGACTCTCCCAAGGGAGAACCTTGTCTTAGGCCAGCATTAAAGGGACAGTGGTTGAGAGGGCTGAAATGGTTGACTGTTGAGAGAAGCACTTGTTTTCGCACACTTGGAAGCGGATGTGTGGAACCCCGCTGGGGTGCAGCTGAGAGTGTCTTTTCTGTTTGGTCTGAGGGAGGACACTGAAGAGCCTGTCCAGGTTTTGCAAAGATTCCGCAGGCCGGGGGCACGTGACACTCTGCCCTTTCTGCCGCAGGAACCAGGAGGAGCTGTCTCCAAGCCCACCTCTGTTGAATCCATCCACCCCGCAGTCCACGGAGAGTCAGCCGACCACGGGCGAGCCGGCCACCCCCAAAAGGCGCAAAGCCGAACCGGAGGCCTTGCAGTCCCTCAGGCGCTCCACGCGCCACTCCGCCAACAGCGACCGGCTGTCCGAGAGCAGCGCCTCGCCTCAGCCCAAGCGCCGGCAGCAGGACCCGTCCGCCAGCATGCCCAAGCTCTTCCTGCACCTGGAGAAAAGTAGGTCCTCTCCCTGGGGCAGAAACCAGTGTGTCGTCCCCCCGGCAGGAGGGGCTGGGGAGAGGCGGGGGGAGTGCACGGCACACCCACGTGTGCCCGCTCGCCTGTGGCAGTTTGACTGAAGCCTAGCCCTGGTGAGGCTCAGGAGGCCTTCTCCCTGGCCTGGGGCGGCTGGCCAGGAGACGCGGCCTGCTGGGCTTTAGCTCTGTAGTTGGATGCTTGGTGCCTGCCGGTTTAGCTCTGTTTGGCTCCGTGTCGCCGCCAGTCAGTTATCAGTCACTCCTGTTCCCTCCCCCGGCCGCCGTCACACTGGGCAGCCGCAGATGGCGGGCTGCCCCTTTGCAGTTGCCTCTCCTCGGCGTGGGTTCTTATCAGTGGAACCGTGCACTATGCGGCCTCGTGTCGGTGGCTTTTTTCACTCGGCGTCACGTTTTCAAGGTTCATTTCGCTGTAGCTTCTATTAGTTCTTGATTCCCTTCCCCCCCCCAAGTGATGTTCTAGGTACTGTCTTATAATAGGAGGGTCTCATTATTAAGGATGAATAACTTTTCTGCTGTTTGTCACTGTCTTCCCGCAGTCTTGGATGCACAGCTGTGTGCTTTCTGAGTGAAGAATGCGCATCTTTTCCTTTCGCAGAGACCCCCGTGCACAGCAGATCGTCCTCACCGGTTCCCGTGACCCCCAGCAAGGAAGGCAGTGCGGTGTTTGCCAGCTTCGAGGGCAGAAGAACGAACGAAATAAATGAGGTAGAGTTAATGTCTGCTCTTCAGCCCCCGTGAGTCCTTCCGCTCCGTAGAAGCATCGTGTTGCTCTTGCTGTGGGCAGTAACGGAATTGTTTCTGGGATGTGCACCGTTGCCTTTTCGGTTTCTGAAATGAGACGGTTCTCAGGATTCCAGCCCTACACTTACATTCATCTTTTATCCTAAGTAACTAAGTGTTGCTACATCACTACAGCAAGTCCTCACTTAAGATCGTAGACAGGTTCTTCGACATTAAGCAAAATGCCATAAAGTAAAACCAGTTTTACCATAGGCTCATTGATGTAAAAAGAAGTTAAATTGCTATGGCATCTCATCAACATTATAACCAAATGACATGATCTGAGGACCTACTGTGCTTCAGTTTATGTAATAGGTGTCAGAACACTTCCTCCGCAAAAGGGCAGAGAGTAAATATTTTAGGTTTTGCGGGCCACACAGTGTTTAATAGGACTGCCCAACTCCAAAAGTAGCCATAGATACTTTGTAAATGAATGTATTCTGTTCCCGCAAAACTTGATTATGGTCAGAGATTTGAATATCAGATAATTTTTATGTATGATGAGACATTGTTCTTTTTTTTGTTGCTATTTTTCAACCATTTAAAAATGTCAAGTCCATCCTTAACGATGATATTAATAGCCACCCCTTGGAGGGCCTGCTGTATGTTGGCATTGTGCCAGGCACTTGGCCGAAATTACCTCGAATTCTTACCTTGCTGCTGGGTTTCCATTTTGCAGATGGCGAAACTTTTCATTTTAAAATTCTATTTCTAAGGCCACCTAACTGATGTAGGCAGTGAGTGTTTCTGGGATTCGGTAGATGCCTTCTTAGTGCAGCAGGATACTTGGTGAACCCCACCTGGGAGCTGGGGTGTCCTTGCCTCTCTGTAGAGGGGAAGGCGACTGTGCTAGGGGTCAGCACAGTTCTTCTGTGCAGAGTCAGATCATAAGTGTTTTCAGGGTTGACAGCTGTTTTCACTTGACTCAGTGGGTCATATTAGTTTCCCAAGTGAATATAACGGCACAAATGGGGAGATTTTGAAACAATAATAATACTACTCAAAACGTCTTTGGGTTACTTTTCACTGCTTCATTCTCTTATGCGGCAGGATTTTCAGTAAAGGAAAAGGGGCGAAACGACCACATTAATTAACAGCCGATTTATAGGTAGTAGGTGTTAAAAATTAGGAAGTCAAATATTTCCATAATTTTAAGCCTTCCCCGTCCCGCACTTTTATTTATTTTTATAAGCTTGTGTTTATTTTAATATAGTGGGTTGGTTTTTCCTCTACATATAATTTATTATCATAATTTCTAGGTGATTAGAAGTGTCTCCAGGTTGCCAAGGAAGGTGGATCCTCCTAGAATTGATTTAAAAGGCAAAAATGTTTTCAGAAGTTACAGTAGAAAACTGCAATATATATGCTAATATACAATCTATGTGGAAAATACATAGTGATTCTCATGCCCCCTACATAATTCCACCACTAAGAAATGCACATTAATACTTCGGTATATACTTCATGGTTTTTTTTTCTGTATATTTACATAATAATTATACACAATATTTTACATTGCGTCTTTAATTTTTTGCAAGTGTCATATTGAACTTAATTAATTTGTACGGTGATCCCCCTCAGCGTAACACACTACACCCGCCGTCTCCTGAACTCACGCTCACCAAGAGCTGCATGGGACGGTGGGGGGCTTCTTCAGGACTTCCACACTGGAGTGTTGTCGCCGTCTCCCCCCCGTTCCGGCCCAGCTGCGGAGGAGCTCCCGGGTGCTGGGCTCACAGGAAGCCTGGGGGTGGCAGTGTGGCACTTCGTGGGTGACATCGGCCTGCGGGTCTAAATGTGTCCAAGCGCGCGCGTTTCCGCCAGAACTGCGGATGTCGAGGTCTGTTGGCGGTGGAGTGTTAAGACATAATAGCGAAGTGTCCCATGTGTGCCTGTCCCAGGTCCTGTCCTGGAAGCTGGTACCCGACAGTTACCCTCCAGGTGACCAGCCGCCTCCACCCTCCTACATTTACGGGGCACAGCATCTGCTGCGCTTGTTTGGTAAGAAATCCTGCTCCCTGCTTCCTCCCCCCGCCCCCCACCCCTTGATTTTTGCTTTCGTTTTAACGCTGTTGTTAGCTTAGGGACATCTGGTGGTAATTTGGGGGTCTAAGACAAATTACTGAAGGGGGGACCTCTTTAAAAAAAAGGGTACTTTATGAATGTTACATTTCCTGAAAACTATATTTGTAACATTTGTCCTACCATTCTGTCTTCCTGTTCACTTAGAGTTTTTAGTTTTGTTTGATAACATAGATGTTCATTTCAGTTCAAATAAGGATAAAGAGACCCAGGTGATATCTGAGTATATCCTACCCATTGCATTGCCAGATTCTGCTGATTGTAAATGGTTTTTTTCTTTTTAATACAGTGAAACTTCCAGAAATCCTTGGAAAGATGTCCTTTTCTGAAAAGAATCTGAAGGCTTTACTGAAGCACTTTGATCTCTTTCTGAGGTATTTTTATCACTCTTATCAAAAATTAACCCTTACTGCTTTATGTCTATATATAGTACCTTATATATGACTTTTCTGGATTTCTCTTTAGCAAGTGTGGAAGCCAGCTCTGATATTTTAAGTATGGTTGCTTGTAACTGTAATTGTAATATAGGGGGGTGGGGTTTGGCTCTTTCTTTTTTTTCCATAATTTTTTTTTAACAGAGCATCCTCTGACTTCATTATAGTAAACTTTTTTAAAGATTTTATTTATTTATTTTTAGAGAGGGGGAGGGAGGGAGAAAGAGAGAGAGAGAAACATCAGTGTGTGGTTGCCTCTCATGTGGCCCCCACTGGGGACGTGGCCTATAACCCAGGTATGTGCCCTGACTGGGAATCGAACCTGCGATGCTTTGGTTCGCAGCCCGCGCTCAATCCACTGATTGAGCTACGCCAGCCAGGGCTCTTTTTTCCATAATTTATTTGCTTTCTGAATTGAGCCTATTCATTGTATGGAGGTAACTTTTTTTTAAGATTTTACTTATTTTTTAAGACACAGGGGGAAGAGAGGGAGAAATAGAGGGAGAGAAACATCAATGTGTGGTTGTCACTTATGCCCCCTGCTGGGGACCTGGCGTGCAACCCAGGCCTGTGCCCTGACTGGGGATCAAACTGGTGACCCTTTGGTTTGCAGCCCAGTGCTCAGTCCACTGAGCCACACCAGCCAGGCCAGAGTTAAATTTTTTGTGTCACCAAAAGAATTCAGTTGGATAACCTTGTGAAAAGAAAATTGATTTTCTATAGTAGAAGCGATTGACTAAGGTTGATGATTTAATTTTGTATTTTTCATTCAGGAGTACGTTAAGTATTGGACTCTTTGTTGCAAGTACATAAACTAACTTAAATATTAGCATTTACAGGTTGGATTTTGGGGGTTTACTTTAAAGTTAAGATAAATGACTGTTGCTGACAGTTTGTGAGTTCAGGGAAAGGTATTATTCCCTTCCCCCATAGGGCCAGTCATTTCAGCATATCACCAGACCATGGGCCCCCACCTTCACCGCCCCTCCCGCCGCCGCGCCGTGAGCCCCACCTCCTGTCTGCCTGTGGCCCAGCGCTCTCCCTCTTCCCCACCCGCATGTGTGCTGACTGCTTCCTCTCCTTGGCAGTCGAGGCGGCCTCAGCCTGGCGCAGCACCCAGCTCGTCCTATCTACCTGACTGACTTTCTTCCTTGTCTTGAAGCAGCTGCCTTTTCCTGGTAGTCAGGCCCCAGCCTGCAGGAGCTAATCAGGTAGCATCTATGCAGAGTGGAGAGCACCGCGGCCAGAGCAGTCCGTCTTGGAGTTTGTAAAAGCTACTTTCCCGTAGGCATTTGGAATAAAGTGTCCATGCGTGGAGTGAGACTTTAGAACATTTTATTAGAAACAAGTTTGAGAATTGATGCAGACCCCGGCCTGAGGAGCCCATGTGTTGTGGCTGTGACGAACAAAGTCACACAGCCTGCAGAAGTCCTGTGGAGGGAAGAGGGACGGCGTGGCCAGTCTCTGAGTGAGACAGAGGGCCCGGCCCCTGCCTGGACAAGCTCTTACTGCTTTTTTTATTGCTTTTCTGGGTGCATTACCTCAAGGATGGTCCTCATTTACTATGCATAAGGTCACTGCAGCTGATGACCTTTTACAGATAACAAAGGAAAGAATGTTGCTAATTACTTCAAAGAGAAGTTATGTTGCAGATCCAGGGGAAAAGTGGTTGAACTGGTTACACTCCATCCTTGGGAGGTTTAGCACAGACTTTAGGAAGTTACTTGAAAGATATGCAGTAAACATTTTGCTGCCTCAGTTCAGGGTGAGGGAGTTTTAGCAAAAAGCAAGCCTCAAAGCGGCCTAGGTACAATGCAGGCCTGACTCCCCACGGGAAATCCCATCTGTGGGCTCGGTTCCTATGTGCTGACTTGCTCCCCGCTGGTTTTCCGAATCCGGCTGGGCTCCACTCGCCGTGCCATGTGGGCACATTCCCTACACAGAATTATCCTCTTCCCTTCCAGCCCCCCCTCAGACAAACCCACAACTCTATTTGGCATAAAAGTTTTGTAAGCTGAAATCAGATAATGATGGTAAAATATGAAGAGCTTAGCAAAGTTAGTTTAGCAGAGGCTGCTGATTTTGAAATATGCCCAATACAAAATAGAAGTTAGGATTTTAGGAAGTAACTTAGAAATATTTACAAATAAGTGTAATTGGTTTTGAAAAAATGCATGCAAAGTATTCAACTAGAGAATCAATGGACACAGCAACCATTGTAAAAAGGGTACAATCAAGGAAGAAAAAGTTCACCCTTGGATGAATTTTGGCTCAGTTTTTACGGAAGAAGGTATTTCAGAGGTCCATCCTTAAATTTTTAGGAATTTGGACAGATGGGAGGAGGCCGGGAAAACAAACATGGGGCTAATTAGCTTACTCGTTAATATGACCCGTGTGAGAATGTTCTGGTGCTTTATGGTGAAGTCTTTGATATTTCCGAGGCAAGGTAGCCTTTGTGTATTAGAGACTCTTAAGTGGCCACGTTTTAAAAGCCATTGTCAGACATAAGTCAGTCTTCTTGCTTCTGTGTTTTCATACTGTAAGCTAGAACTGTAACACACAGGGCGTGGCAAATTATGGCACGATATTCTATACCATTCAGTTTTGGTGTCACTGAGCCCTTACAAACATTATGAGTTTCCCCAGTGCCAGTTGCTGAGTTTATAATTTATTTTTTACAGTTTGTTTTTAAAACAGGGCAACGCAGCCCCGACTGGTGTGCTCAGTTGGTTGGGCGCCCTCCTGCTGAGCAGAGGGTCACCCAGTTCACCTCCTGGTCAGGGCACATGCCTGGGTTGCGAGTTCGGTCCCCAGTCAGGGCATGTGGAAGAGGCAACCGATCGATGTTTCTGTCCCTCTCTCTCCCACCCTCCCTTCCTGTCTCTCTAGAAATGAATATAAATCTTCAAAATAAATAAAATAGGAAAATGTAGAAATAGTCCCTGAGGCCTTTTTTACACAGAAGTGTTGATACAATGAAGACTGCCACCTAGTGGAGTTTGGGTTCTATTTCTATTTGTACACTTGATAGTGAAAGGATTCGGATGAAATAGTTAATTCATGTAGAAGCTGGAAATGCACAGGAAAAGTAATCCGTACGCAGAAATCAAGATTACATTCAGTTTTTCCTAATACCGAAAAGGGGGGACATGTTAGAGTGGTCGGACGTTAAGATTTTGCTTGCTGGCATGTAGTCCTTACTGCGGCAATCACTGAGGCCATTTTTCCTTTCTTTTTCCAGGTTTTTAGCAGAATACCATGACGACTTCTTCCCAGAGTCTGCCTATGTCGCTGCCTGTGAGGCACACTACAGCACTAAGAATCCCAGGGCGATTTATTAGCGCTCCCGTGGCTCTGCGAGAACAGCCCGCCACCGCCCAGCTTTGGGTTGCGGGTCCCCGGTAGAGAGAGAACTGGGGACGCGGTGGGAGATGTGATGCCCACCGCGGGGAGGCTGTAGCAGAGGCGGGCCCAGTTATTTGAGTTGTTACATACTTAGTTCTTTCTGTTAAGCAGTACTTCAAGCGGCGCCTGAACAGCCTGCCACACCCGGCCGTGGCCACCGGACGCCCATCCGTGCTGGGAGGGGCGAGCGGCTAGGTCCCCAGTGAGGCGTTCGTGAGCGTGTGCCTAGGTTCGGCTGTTCAGCGGAAGCTGGCGTTATTAATGATAACCACATGTTTTAGTTCTTTGTTAGCACTAAGCAAAATTGTTTTGCAAAACTCTCCATGCTTACGATGATCCTGAGCGACTCTGTCCGAGAAATTGGAGTTTTGCTGGAAAACTGCAAAGTGGTCCCAAAATATTTTACAGGGAATTGACATCGAAGGCAAAAGGAAATTTGCAGCTATACATTTGCTTTTACAGTTCCTTTTCTGTAAACCCTTATTTTTGGTGATCTAAAAAAAGCGTTGCCTGACATGTTTGAGATTTTTACAGCTATACTTTGTTGTGTAATGTTATGGTTCCCATTCCGTAAGATGTTATTTTTGATGATCTAAATAAAGCAGAGCCGGTCTTGTTGCAAAGAACCATGAGGGAGAGTTTTCACTGTGGCCTTGTCCTCCTTCTTTATCGCAAAGGAACGGCAAGGTAACATCTTGACCCAACTTTTTGTTTTACTTCGTTTTATCTTCGAGCCTTTTTTGGTCAGGTCTTTAGTTTTCCTTTCCTTTGATTTTCTGTCCTTTGACAGCTAGACTAGTATGGGGTTCCTGGAAGTTGGTGCAGCTCTTGGCTGTCTTGTTGCCGCACCCTGGGCTGGTCTAGCGCCAGCCCGTGGATCCACCCGCCCCGCCCATCCTGACCAGCCCATGATCTCTCAGGTCACCCCTCTGATCCTATCTTAGTCTCTCACAGCCTCCCCTTCGCCTCTCCACCGGGATGTTTTAGAAAACCCAACTCAGTCGAGGACAGGCCAGCACCACACAGGCCGTGACCATAGCACCTGCCCTTCCTTGCAGCTCGACTCAGTGGATCGCACTTTGCCAAGATCACTTCTCACGAACAACAAGGGCCACAGGGAACTTGTCACATTTTGTAAATGGTCTCATCCAAGAAACTTGGCACCTACTGACGAGTGAGAATCACAACTTCGAAATCAGACTAGACATTATCATAGTGCACTTAGTTGCTAAGTGACTTAGGTTTTTGGTGTCCAGTCTGGAGTTGCATTCGGGTTCATGATAGGTTTCATTGCCATTTGCTTTCTGCGGTGGCTGTTTCAAGGTGGCGCACCAGCTGTGTGCTCCGGATCGTTGAAAAAGTGTAATCGGCAATTTTTCATCGCCTGGGAAGGAGACACTCTCCCTGACAAGAATCTACTTGTCAAATGTCACCAGTGAAATGAACACAGACTGTCTCTTGGGACATTTCTATAGTTTTATGTACCTTGAGTTGACAATTAATTCACTTCCTCATAATGAGAAGCTACTTCCTTTCCCTGAAGGCATTCCTGATTCACAGCTTCCCTTAAGCTGATTATTTGCAGCTTAGGTTGATTTAAATAAATAAGTATTGAAAATATTATCTCTTATATATTAACTTTTCCTATAATTCATCGATTAAAATATAATTTAAATGCCTAGACCATCCTTATCCTTGTAAAAATCGTACATTATCCCCTTTTTGTCAATTTTTAAATTGTTACTTTCCTAAACTGCCAAACCTGCAGTTATGTGTCACATTATATTGTGTTAATGTTTTCCTTTTGAATCATGTAAAGGCATATTGAAATTAAAATTTCAATAACCTGCACGTCAGAATCTTGTACTAAAAACCACTGAATTATACACTTTAAAGTTGAACTTTATGGTGTGTGAATTATCTCAGTTAAAACAGAGATGTAGGTATTGGCTATGGCTAAAACTGAAGAAAATACACCATGAAAACCCATTTGCCTAAAACATTTACTTATTTTTAGAGAGAGGGGAAGGAAGGGAGAAAGAGAAGGAGAGAAACATAGTTCGGTTGCCTCTTGTACACACCCCAGCCAGGGCCTGAGCCGGCAACCCAGGCGTGTGCCCTGCTGCGAGTTGGACCCATCGTCTGTGGGACAGTGCCCAACCAACTGAGCCACACCAATGAGGGCGAAAACTCATTTTTGAGAACTTCAAAGGCTGTTGGATCCAATATTCCAGCACGTCCTTTTTCCTGCATCCTTGCCCAAGGCCAGCCAACGCATCCTTTTCTCCACTGAGTTCACACTTCCCCCGCAGTTCGGAACACCCAGTGCTGTGCCTTCGTATAATTTCCTTCATACGCAAACATGGAGTGGACCAGTGCTCGAACTTCTTTGACTCCCAAATTCTGCATGGCAGGGCGTAGGAGTAAGTATATACTGATTCTGTGATATAAGCAATAAAAGGTTAATAAACAGGCTAGTGACAGCAGAAATAACATGAATTCAGAAGAATGCAAATCGTAGTTCATCTTGACAAGTCTTCATTGTTTAGCATTTTGTGACATCCATCTTCCTCCTTCCGCAAGGTCATGAGAAACCGTAGGTAATAAAGAACTCGACTTTTCCTATTGATTTGTACTATTCTCACCCGGGTTTACAGCCTTCAGCGGAATGATTTAATACGTCATTTTGGAGATCTGCTTTGGCACAAGGTAAATTACAGCCGCCTGCAGTTCTGTTTACTGCTCAATATTCACTGTTGTAAAGGTGACTTTCGAGACAATTTCAGGTTGTCAGCGTCTATTAGTTGTCCATTATTGTCCGGAAAATGATTTGTGAGTTGTATAGAGACACACCTATTAGTGTCAGGATGAGCGCTGTTGGAATGTGTGTGGGCTGCACTGAAAAGAAAGCGAACACCAGAAATGCTGTATTGGAGCACATAAAGCTTAACCAGTCATTGCATTCAAACCCTTTGTTAATTTGGTGGTCCTTAAGAAGCCGTGGTATGGTAGACATTGAAAAATGTTTCTAGCCCTGGCTGGCGTAGCTCAGTGGATTGAGCGCGGGCTGCGAACCAAAGCGTCACAGGTTCGATTCCCAGTCAGGGCACATGCCTGGGTTGCAGGCCATGATCCCCAGCAACCGCACCTTGATGTTTCTCTCTCTCTCTCTCTCTTTCTCCCTCCCTTCCCTCTCTAAAAATAAATAAATAAAGTCTTTAAAAAAAAGTCTCAAAAGATCACATTTAAAAAAAAAGAAAAATGTTTCTAAATCTTCAGACACACACACACAACACACACACCATATCCATGTCCCTAACCCTTGAAATATGAATTTGCAGTTTCTCTTATCAAGAGGTAGGGATCTACTTTCTCTACCCTTGAACTTGGTCTGTTTTTTTCCTTCTGCTGAGGGCTGACTTTTCCATAGATCACATCCAGGGAGCTGCTCTGCTACGTACAAAGCCCAGACTAGAATGGGTTTGGGACTTGCCTTAGCCAAGAAAATATGGCAGAAGTGAATTTTGCTTGACATGTGAACAAGTCCAGACTGACCTGACGGATAAGAGACAGGTTGCCTAGTTATTCTCAGCATTCAGCCAACAACCAGTTGACTGTCCCAGAGGGTGAGTGAAACCATCTTAGGCCAGCCAACCCCCAGCCTACCTACCAGCCCACTACAGATGCACAGACAAGCCAACCAAACTGCCAAGTCTAGCTTGGTTTAGCAGAACCTCCCAAGTGACCTACAGATAGTTGATCAGTAATAAATGTGTATCACTTTAAGCCATGGTGTTGTGCAGTGGTTTGTAAGGCAGCGATAGCTAACAGCAACCTGCCTTTGTGGTGTGCATGTTTTGCACCTGTTGATGGAGCAGCTCACACCTCACTGCCTGGGCTGAAACTGCTGAAATCCTGGAATGTTCGGAAGCCATTTGCTAACCGAGGGGCATGTACCTGTTCCTGCTACTGCTCATATAGCAAGGAAGAGAATGGATAGAGACAGCCATGCATCTTTGGGATCTTGGAGCTAGCACAGCATTAGTTTTTGTTTTCTTTAAGATTTTATTTATTTCTTTTTAGAGAGGGAAGGGAGAGAGAAAGACAGAGAGAGAGAAACATCAACGTGCGGTTGCTGGGGGCCATGGCCTGCAACCCAGGCATGTGCCCTGACTGGGAATCAAACCTGTGATGCTTTGGTTTGCAGCCTGTGCTCCATCCACTGAGCTACACCAGCCAGGGCTAGCATTAGTTTTATTTGTAAGAAACTTAAAGTTTGCAGAACAGAAGAAAGAAGAACACAAAATATTTTTTCACCATAAAATTAAGTAGTAGTATTTTGTCAGATTTGTTTCCAGCCACTGTTTTAAAAAAGAAAACATTTCGGATTTTGCTAAAATTCCCTTCACCATTACCCGGCTCTCTCCCCCTGCACTTTTCCAGAGGAAGTACTACCCTGAGGTTGAGGTGTGGACTCAGATCATGCATACGCATCGCCTTGATCTTGTACTCTTCCTCATGCTTTTGACACGTGTATAGATGCATATTTACACACATGCAGATACATGTGTACACATAGGATATGTATAATACATGCTGATATTATGTACATATACATAACTACATCAATTTGTGTTCTTACATATACACACATCTAGTTTAATCCTTTAAACTGCTAAGAGCCTATCACATGCACGTAATATCCTGTATTAATTTCTTTACCATTGTTGCACACTCAGATGGCTTCCAAGTTCCTCTTTTACAGATAGTGCTGCAAAACAGCCCTGGCCCATAGTTCCTTGTATCCAAATGGCAGCCTCTCTCTAGGCCATGCACTCAGAATTGCTGGATGGTCAGACACATGCTTTTTCACATTTTCTAGAGTCTAAAGTTACCCCATTAGACAGGAACCTGGCTTTATAAGAGTTCCCGGGTGTTAAGTTTCAGGGAAGTCATCTTGCGGGACAGATTTATAACACGGAGCTAAAAGAAAAGAAAAAGTGGATGAAAACTTGAAATGATTTTGAGACATTCCACGTGACCTCATTTCATATCACCCCACCCCAGTGTTTTTATGCAGTATTAGGAATTGTTATTTGGTGGTCCCGTGGAAATGACAAAAATGAAAAAATTGCTAAATTGACAGTGGTAAAAAGCAGGGGAAGAGACGATGGTCTGCCACTTGGCTCCCTAATTGATTTCCAGGCCAACTATTAAGGACATTATGGAAAGGAGTTCAGTGGTCATCCAAGGAATATTTCAGCTATTGTGTTGAATAGAGCAAACTCACCACGTTCGATAATTTCCAGGGGATCTCGGGTTTATTACTCAATAAGGCAAACCAGTTCTTTTGGTTTTCTCAACTGAGAGGTCAAGTTGAAAAACCTGTGTGTACCATTCCAAGACATGATATGGCAAACGTAGCACGCGTGGTGTGAGCCAGCGTAGGTCAAACAATATTCTCTCGGTAAACGGGACAAAGTCGCTCTTGTTGGTTAAGCAGTCAGTAGCTACATGTCCTTAGTGTTTACACATCTCCTGTCAAAAGTGAGTTAGTCCACAAGAAGACTGTCCTCATAATAAACATTCTTCTCAAGAAATGGTGTATACCCTTTGTCCTTTGGAT